CGTGCTGAAAACATAAAGTTAGTGACAACAATCTAAAACATCCAGTTTAGATCAAGTTAAAGCTATAAGGTGATCCTAAGGGACTCTTATTTCTTAATTTTTTAAAATTCTTATTTTTTCTTAGCTAAGATTTTAAAATGACTTTAATTATTCACTGAAAATATTTGGTAAATATGCCTTGAAGAATATCTGCTATTCAGTTCTGGCTAACAGTGATGACCTACTCATGTTTTAGCAAAAAAAAAAAAAAAAGAGAAGCTGATTTTTTTTAAAAAATTATTTATTTTTAGAGAGAGAGGAAGGGAGGAAGAAAGGGAGGGAGTGAAACATCGATGTGTGGTTGCCTCTCACGTGCCCCCTACTGGGGACCTGGCCTGCAACCTAGGCACAGGCACTGGTTGGAAATCAAACTGGTGACTGTTTGGTTCACAGACCAGCACTCAATTTGTTGAGCCACAGCAGCCAGGGCAAGAAGCTAATTTTTAAATGTGAGTACTTTTCAAATTCTGAGAGAATAAAGTATTTCAGAGATTGGTAACTAGAGTCCATAAATTCAAAGGTTTCCATTTTAAGTGGTTAGACTGTTTTCAGTTTTTTATGAAATTATGATTATGAAACATGGCTATTTTGTTTTTCTAAAGCATGATACTATCAAACTTAATCTCTCATAGGAGTAATCGGTAAACTCTTAATTGTTCAGATTCTATTTCTATATCAGCATATAGTTAGCAGCATGCCCTTTAAAAAGAATTATGATACCTCTATGTGTGGGGTTGCCAGATAAAATACAGAATGCCCAGTTAAATCTGAATTTGATATAGACAACAAATAATATTTAGCATAATTAAATATTACATGCACATACTTAAGTCAAAAAAGTATTCATTGTTTATCTGAAATTCAAATTTGAGTGGGTATGCTGTATTTTTATTTATGAAACCTGACAATCCTATTTATACTTCTCAGTTTTCTAATAAAGGTAATGGATGATTTCTGCAACCTCCCAGTGTTTCTTAGAATTAACACTGTGTGATATGTATTTCTTACAGTAAGACTTTTTTATATAGAGTACAATCAAACCTTGCAACACAGAATATCACATTAATTTCTCACTAGCTTACTGATAAACTAAAAATTACAAAATCACAAATTTTTTCCCTAAATTTTCCTTCAAATATAGGATTATGAATTCTCATAAATAGAACCATGGGAATTGTAAAATGGCAATTTTCATTGACTTGACTTGACTTTGAAGTTTAAAGACTTGTTAATGCTGAAATAACTAGGTAATTTGTTGATTTTTTGTGAGATTCCCATAGCAAATTTCAACTGAAACACAGAACTCACAAATGGAAGAACTGGATTCCAAAACTACCATTAGCATGTTCCACCAACTTGTTAAATTCTTCAACTTCCTCTAACAATGTTTTTTTAAAAAGTGAGATATTTGAGAAAAGATTGGAAGGAAATTCTTGAGTGTTAAAGTAGTGTTAGCAATGGATAAGCTTGTTCTATAGCATTGACAGATTGCAAATTTTATAACCTGCTTAAGAATCATGCCCAAAACTATGAGGAAATTCTTAATCCAAATCAAAATATCTAAAGAGGAAAATAGGCTTACGCTTGCGAGCTGTAAAACCATGTTTCAGTAATATTACAAATAAAAGCTCACCAATTGTTGCAAACAGTTCTTATGCAGTCAGGGAATTCAGAAGTTAAAGCTGATATGGTTGTGCTGTAGTTTTCCTTATACACAGAAGATACATTCCAGGACCCCGAGTGAATGCCTGAAACCAAAGATAGAACCAAACTACATATGAGGTCTGTCCTGAAAGTATCCACCCATGCATTATTAAAAAATAGAGACCTTTATTGAAGAAGATATGAGAAATATTGTACATAGAACAATGACACCTCAGTCCCCTTCACAGCAGGCATCTTGGGACCTCACACAGTTCTGCCAGTCACCATCAGCTGTTCCATTGTATTTTCCTGAATCTTACCAATGGTATAAAATCTCTTCCCTTTCAAAGAGATTTTAGTTTTGGGAAAAGCCAGACATTGCAGGGGGCCAAATTTGGGCTGTAGGGGTGCTGAATCACTTAGGTGATTTGATGTTTTGCCAAAAAAACTCTGCATGAGATGTGATTTATGAGCCGGCACATTGTTGTGGTGAAGCTGTCAGTCATCAGTTGCCAAATAGCTGTGGCCTGCTGAATCATCCGAATCATTTCCATGGAGGAATGTTCAAGCTTAACACAAAATTAGATGCAGATTTGTTGCTCTACTCACTCAGTCATTTTGAATGCCACAGCCACACAGTACACATGCTCACTCAACAGTGTCTACCATCCCCACTGAGTACAGTGAAGTCCTCATTGTTCATACATGTGCATTCCAGTCCACTCTTCTTGGCTGCCAGGTTACATCGATGTCACACATACCATTCTCTTATATTAGCAATGGGTGGACTTTTTCTGGACAGATCTCATATAATGGTTTTTCCTATACGTATATGACTTCACATTTAAAGAAAGCACTTTACAGCTTTCCTTTGGCGTATCGGAATTTCCAGCATCATTGTTCTTTTATAGAACTTTAGGACATTTTACTCTTATGCTTTGGGGACATTATTAAATAAGGGTTACTTGAACACAAGCCATACTATGACGATCTGATAACCCTAGATGACTACTATGTGGCTAATGGGTGGGAAGCATATACAGCTGAAAATGCTGGACAAAGGGATGATTCATGTCGGGGGTGGGTTGAAGCTGGATTCCCAAGATTTCATCATGCTACTCATAATGGTGTTTAATTTAAAACTTATGAATTGTTTATTTTAGAATTTTTTTCCATTTAATATTTTCTGGCTGCAGTAGGCCAGGGGTAAGCAGATCTGCAGAAGCAAAACCATTGATAAGGGTGGGGACTACTGTGCACCTTAGGTAGGTTAAGTTATGCTGAGCAACAAGCTATTCCAATATTTCAGTGGCTTTGTCCAACACAAGTGTATTTCTTGCTTATGCAGATTCTGTTTTAGGGCAGCTGTGCAGGGTAATAATTTAGCATTCCAGGATTCTTCAGTCCTATGCCACTTTCTTCTTAATATGCATTTCCATGATTGTAGCAGCAAAGGAAGAGAACACAGAGTCACATACTGGGCCGTTAAGTAGTTCCACCAGGAAATGAAACATTTCATGTCTGCTCACATTTATCTACAAAAACAAGTTATGTCACTTTACCTAATTTCAGGGGGGTGGAGAATGTAATCCTACCCTGTGCCTAAAACCAGAAGAATAGGAAAATTGATGAGCCCTGAAAATGCCTTCAGTAGTATGAAATGTTATGAAAGTGTATTGTGTCTTGGATTATGCTAATAGAGTCACTAACATTACTAGCATGTCATAAATTATGGTTGAAACTAATTAAAGTTTGATCTTGATCTTGTGATTCAAAGTTACAGACTTTTAAGTAGTTTCATTGTTACTCAATATTTGCATTACTGTCTGTGCAAGCAACTAGTCATTGAGATTCATAACTGGTTCACACAATTGTTTAACCTGTTTAAAGATGAAAAGCCAGCCACATTTAAATGAATTGACTTGATTAATATCAGTATTAGGTAAAATATTAAAACACAACTTTTTTCATATGGTTGCAATATCGTAATCCAAATAAGTCACATTTTTTTTCATATATAAAGACACAATGAAAGGAATATACTACACATGGGAAGGAATAATTACTAATGACTGAAATAATGGACAAATGGTATATTGCCAAGTATTTAATGTTACTTAGTTTCAGCATTTTTTGGTTTCTACAATATGAATAAGTAGCATTAAAGGAGCATTTTAAATTAAATATTAATTGAATTTTACCACCTATCAAATGCTATCATATCCGTGGGATGAAGTGGTTAACACAGATTTATTTCTTGATGCTAACACCACATTGAAGGTCTCCTATAGAATACTGTTTCACCTCACATCTTTACAACTTGTTGAATTGTTTTTATTTTTAAGCTGTAGTTTAAAGCTAATTTAATTAATTTCACGCTCTTTTTTTTAAAGCAAGCTTTTGGACCCATCAAAATTGGCTTGTACCTTACAACAATTCACACATGATAATATAGAGATATGCAAATATACCTGTTTGTCAGGTGTGAAGAATGATCTAAAGAGCATGCACGTGGGAACTAAAACTTACAAACAAACATACAGCTGTGTCTACGTGATCCCCTTATTCCTCACTTCCAAGAGGTAAATAGGATCTATCATTCGATTCTTAATTTATAGATTTTTCTTAGACATATTGTACAGTCCTCATGTCACAGCTATTACTGGAGAAAAGAAGGTGAGAAAGCAAGCAAGAAAGATGCCTCTGACGACAGGGCAAGCTTAAACCTGCCACCAATTACACAGATCACACTGTCACAGGTAGTTTTAACAGAAGAGCAATCCTCGAGGTCAGGTTGAAAACAAAACAAAACAAAACAAAACACACCACCCTGGGAAGGGAAGATCAGAGCGTAGGGAGGGCAAGCTGTAGGCCCCATTTCGCTAGCTTGTCTCCGTATCGCCTCAGCCGCCGGGTCCTCCCCTAGGGTCTTCGCAGGTCCTCGCAGGGCAGGTACGCTGACTTCCTCCCTACCTGTTCCGCTAGGGCGTGCGGAGCATTCCGAGGCGATGCCCTAGCGGTGGGAATAGGAACACTCCGGCTGGAAGCTTCCTTTCCGTTCGGCTTCGCCAGCCGGACCCCAAAGACCCAAAAGCCCAGGGAGAAGGAAGTTCCAACTCCGTCCCGGTCCGCCCCCGCCCCGTTTCTCTCTCTCCGGCTCGCTGCCTCTGCCTCGCTCGCTCCGATGCCACCGAGCCTCATCGCCACTTCTGGGTGGCCGTCCGGCGCAGGAGGCTACGAGCTCCCGAACTCTGGGCAGGGAAATGGGGCAGGGTGAGTGAGCCGGCTTGGGGAGAGGCCCCGCAGCGCCCAGCGAGCGCCCGGCACCCCGCCCGCGGAGCTGGGGGAGGCGCGGCCTCGGCCCGGCCCGCTCTGGGCTGAGCCTCCGCGAGGCCGCCGCTTTCTCCTCCCTTCAAGTCCTGGCTTGAGAGCCGAACTGCGAGCGCTCGGGCCGGGGGAGGGAAGAGTGGGGCAGAAAGCCGCGAGAGAGAACAGGCGAGCCTCTGTCTCCTCAAAAGAAAGTAGGAGCCCTGGGTGGGAAAAGGGAAAGGAGCCTTCCCAACTTTTATTCAAGTTTTTTTCCTGGGCGTTTTGTTTGTGCGCCCGGGGGTGCGCTGCAGGCTGCAGGCGTGGCGGCGGAGCCTGTGCGCCTAGTCCTTAGCCCCGCTCCTCCTCCTCGCAGCCGGGGCAGCGCCTCTCCCTCCCCGAGAGGCGCCAAATGGCTACCTAGTCAACCCCACCGGGCGGGGGCTGCAGCGCCTGCAGGCTGCAGCGCCTGCAGCTGCCGCCGCTGCTCCCGGCGCCCGCGGGCTGGGAGCGGGCCCGCAGGTGGAAGCGCACTCCGGAGGCGGGCCGGCCCGGGGTTTGGGTGGCTCGGGCGGTCTCCTGACGCGCTGCCAGCCCTGCTCAGGCCGCGGGAAGGCGCGCGTCCCGCCCTGACCGGCTGGCCTCTCCCACTCCAGCAGTGACGCGCCGCCTGGGAGCTGGAGCCCGCGCAGCGATCCACCGGGTGATGGACGGCCGAGCCCCGAGCATGCAGGACGCCCAGGAGATGCAGACACCCTCCGCCGCCCCAGCTGGGTAAGCCGCGAGTGCCGCGCTGCCACTCGACGGGGAGGATTGGGGCAGCGGGGTCTCTGAGCGTTCACCTGGCTGGCCACTCGGCTGCTCTCTCTGCCAGCGGCCTTAGCTGGCTAACCCACACGCGGCCGAGGAGGCTGCTTCCTCCGGCCTCCTTGGAGGCCGCCCAGGGTTGGGGATCTGGTAGTTTTTCATTGCTTTCCTACTGGGGCTGCTCTGAGCTGCTGACGAGCAGCTGAATGCCAGGAATTGGGCGAGGAGTGCAGGAGCAAAAATTGTAACAAAGGGCCCCTTGTTGGGGCTCTGGGAGAGCGGCGGACGATACCTGTAAGTGAGCTCCCGGGAAGGGGGAGAAAGTTTCCTTGGACGCGAGCGGAGGCCAAGGCAGGTGAGCAATGTCAAGGTGACTCAGGAAGGGGCTTTCTGCGAGCGGTTGGAGGGCGAAGGGGGGGCAGGTGTGTGCCAGCTGTCAGCCCGCTTGACAGTTCCGGGACCGGGCGGGGTGCGAACCTCTGATTGGGGGTGTGTGTGCCTGTGACCAATTGCTGGTGCCAAAGACTAGCGCGAAGTCAGACTGCAAACAACCATACTTTTCTTTGTATCCACGTGTTTGAGGAGAGATTGGAGGTGAAGGGGCTGTCACATGGTGAGTTAATATTAAATGAAGCATGTCTTCCTGCCAGATATGCTAATATCACTTTGCTAAGCGTTTGGATAAACAGTATTGAGAACAGGTAGTTCTGCAAGAGCTGGGCAGAACCTGAAAATATCCTTCGTCTTGGTAAACAGTGAAGGCTTAACTTGCGTGCTGGTTGAGTTTCTGAAGTGGGAAACCCCTCTGATACAGCATAACTTTTTCCTACATTGTTCCCCCGCCTTGGTTTCTTTTCTGATAATCTGATCGTGGAAATGCCCTAAAGGGAATAGAAACATTCCAGAAATCTTTTCCAGAAAGCCTTAAAGAAAAATAGGCTTTGTAACCTATGAATGAGAGTTGTACAGTTTTCCTGATCGAGGAGTAGGGAAAGTCATTTTTTCCCTGGACCATGACAGGCCTTTACTTAGAAGCAAGTCACAGCATGTTTATTCATCGGAGACCATGCGAACATTGGCAGTTGTCTAGAGGAAACATGGAAAAGTCTCAAAGCAACATGACTAATATAAAATATATTTAGTATAATGCTTACGTAGTGTATAAATTAATTTTCATTTTGTTTCAAATAGCTTCTCCCCTTTGCAAGGAGCTGTGCTACTGTTGACTTCCATTCCTATTCTTTCCCAGGTTTTTCTTTGTTTAGGTATTATATATTCTTCCATGTACTGTCATATTAGGATGCATGAGTAAAGAAATACATGTGTAGAAAGATGTTAATCATGATAGCACGAGCCGATTAAGGGAGATGCAGTGTGATGTAAATTGAAGATTAGACAGCTTTCAGGAATACTGGGATAATTTAAGGTATCACAAAATAAGATAGGATTAAATGGGTGGATTTGAAAATGAATTAGGTTAAAGTACTTTAAAAAACAACTTAGCATATGCACATACATGAAATATACTTGTGGGTATTTAGAAATCATTTAATACTTTTGAGTAAAACACGTGAGGTCAGATGGCTCTCAGATGAAGGAATGGTAAGAGTTTGCTAGGGAGAAGCGTGACTATAGGTAAGATACTTCAGAGTTTACTTTTGATAATTTAAAGGTTTAATAAATTATGAAACGAATTTACAAAACTTTTACCTAATTTCTCGACTATGAAGAAAATACTTTTAGGGAACTTTACCCTCCTTCAAATTTAAGGAGTGACATCTGGAATAATGCTTCAAATATATCTACAAGCACCCCACTGTATCATTTTACCTACATTATTTTATTTAGAGAAGTTATCAGTATATGAAAGTATAAACAAAAAATTACTTCTTTATCTGTCTTCTTTCACTTATCTATCTTGTCTCTAGGCATATCCTAAGTGCCTATTACATACTATTTTTTGAATATTCAGTATTCAGTATTGCTTTTGTCATTTTTCTAAAAAAAGAAGACATTTAAAAGGTTTTAATTGTGAAAAATTTTACCCTAGGAATAGGTATTTAGGAGGTGGCAGGGAGCAAGCTCAGTCAATATGTTAAGGTTTGGGAAGTAAATTCCTTATTATAAAACTACTTAAGTCGTGACTCATTACTCTAATAGTTTACGAGGCCTAGTTTAACCCTTAATCTTGTATATTACTGTTCTATAGGACTTCTCTATAATTTTCCAGGTCTTGCTTTGTTATAATAGGTCATTTTAAAGAAATTTAGTGCAACTCCGTATTTTATAAATGACAATCTGATGTCCAGAGAGACTGAGTGACTTTGCAGAAGTTCGATAGCAAATTAGTGGCAAAACCTGAAGGAAAATTTGGGACTAGTTGCATTAATTGTTTTTAATCTTTTTCTAACCACTGTATGATACATTTAAATCTCAAATAGTCATCTTGGTTACCTTAGCTTTAGAGCTACTTGTGCTTGTATTTTTTTACTATGCCATACAAATATACTTAAAAAAAAAGACTCTGAAATTTAAATGTCAACAGTGTAGTTGACATTGCTTTGAGGAACCTTAATGTTTTGATTCTGAAACAATCGTCAGGAATGGTTGAGGGTGGGTTGGGGAGGGGGGAAGCCTAATGCTTTAAACTTTTGCAGATTTGGACCCAGGGACTTAATTGAAGATGGTGTAAAAATTAATGAATAATTTAGCAGCTGCTTTCTGAAGCTTTTATGTAGATATATTACAGGTTCTGAAATGCACTGACTATATAAACTGAGTTCTTGGTAACTAACATTTATTTACTACTTAGAATTTCAATGCCTTACCTAAAGTTTCAACACAAGCATTACCTGGGGATCTTAATACTAGTACCCATGCTCTCACAACCCTACCTATCCTGATTTTGCCTGGTCTTAGACAAGGGCATGGAGTTTTTATTATTTTATATTTTATTTTTAAATTATATTTTATTGATTATGCTATTACAATTTATCCCAATTTCCCCCCCTTTTCTCCCTCCACTCCCTCAGGCAATTCCCCATGCCAAAGTCCATGTCCGTGGTCATGCATATACATTCTTTGGCTACCCTATTCCTAGTGCTGTACTTTACATCCCCATGACCATTTTATTACTACCAATTTGTACTTCTCAATCCCTTCACTCCTTTTTCCCATTCCCCAATCCCCCTCCCACCTGGCAACCTTCAAAATGCTCTCTGTATCTATGATTCAGTTTCTATTCTTCTTCTTTATTTTGTTTTTTAGATTCAATTATTTATAGATATGTATTTGTTGCTATTTTATTGCTCATACTTTAGATCTCCCTAAAGAAGACCCTTTAACATTTCATAACACTGGTTTGATGGTGATATACTCCTTTAGCTTATCTCGCTGAGAAGCTCTTTATTTGTCCTTTGATTCTAAATGATACCATTGTTGAGTAGAGCAATCTTGGCTGCAGGTCCTTGCTTTACAACACTTTGAATGTTTTTTTTGCCAATCGCTTCTAGCTCCAAACTTTCTTTTGAGAAGTCAGCTGACAGTCTTATGGTGACTCCGTTGTAGGTAACTAACTACTTTTTCCTTGTTGGTTTTAAGATTCTTTGTCTTTAAACTTTGGCATTTTAGTTATGATATGTCTTGGCATAAGCCTCTTTGAGTTCATCTTGTTTGGGATTCTCTGTGCTTCCTGTAGTTGTGTGCCTATTTCCTTCACCAAATTAGGGAAGTTTTCTTTCATTATTTTTTCAAGTAGATCTCCAGTTTCTTGCTCTCTTCTCCTTCTGGCATCCCTATGATGCAAATGTTGGTATGCTTGAAGTTGTCCCAGAGACTCCTTACACTGTACTCATTTTTATGGATCCTTTTTTCTTCTTGCTATTATGATTCATTGCTTTTGCTTCCTTATATTCCAAATCACTGATTTGAATATTGGCTTCATCCACTCTACAGTTGATTCCCTGGAAGGTGTTCTTTATTTCAGTTAGTGAAGCAGTTGTTTCTGACTGGATCTTTTTTTATGTTTTTGAGGTCCTCACTAAGTTACTTGAGCATGCTTATAACCAGTGTTTTGAACTCTGCATCTGATAGATTGTTCATCCCCATTTTGTTTAGTTCATTTTCTGGAGATTTGTTCTGTTCTTTCATTTGGGCTTTGTTTCTTTGTCTCCTCATTTTGGCAGACATATTAGGTAGAGCTGCTGTGCTTCCCAGACTTGGTGGAGTATCCTATATTAGGATATAGTAGGTGTTCTGAAGGGTCCAGTGGCACAGCCTCCCCTATTACATAAGCTGCTACTTGAGGTGTGGCCAATGTGTGGGCTCTGTACACCCTCCTCTTGTAGTTGAGCCTTGATTGCTGTTGGCACATCCAGGGTCAGTTACCACCTGTGTTCTCTCTGAGGTCCCACAGCACAAGCTGCAAAGCATTCTGCAGATAGCTGCTACTTGTGCTGGACTTGGAGGTGGCCAGGTGAAGCCAGACTATGCAGCAAGGCTGGTTGCTGCTAGATAGTGCCAGGCCTGGGGCAACTTAAGTGAGAGGTATGGGGCTTGCTGAAGCCAGATGCACACTTGTTTGAGAGAATTTAGGAGAATCTGAAGCATGGGCCAAGACAACCCATTTGTATGGAAAATCCACTGGAAACAGCTTGGGTGGACCTGAAAGTTGAGTGGGTTAGGCCTCAGGGAATCACCGGGGTGGGGCAAATAGTGTGAGCCAAGTTGATGGAGTCTCAGATATGGCACCTGTCTGCTGGCTCTGTGGCTCTGTTGGAGGAGGGCTCAGGAAGGGAACAGTGACAGCAGTTCTATCTGGGAGAAAGCTGCTCCCAAGATCTTGCTCTGATGCCAGACAACTCTGAGTGTGTTTCTGGTGCCTTTCAACCTGCTGGGGCTCAGAGGGAGTGAGTTTGAGTTAGTCTGTGTGTGGGCTCTTTAAGAGGAACTCCCTGGGATTCCAGCAG